TAAAAAAGACATTCACAATACAGAAAAAAAAAATAACTACTGGTTTCTCCCAAAATCAAATCAAATAAATGATTATTTACTCCTACTTATCTGAATTGTGGAATAATATTCCCATTGTACCATCTTGGCTTTTAACGTATTTCAACATTTCAGCTCAGCAGGCAATGATTCATCTATAATCTAGTTATGTATCAAAAGTAGTTATTTGTACCTCTCTAAAGAAGCAAGGTTGAGTTTTGAAAAACTTCCTGATTTCGTTTTTATATAAAGTAGGGCAACCTACCTGAACTTGGTGCCCTTCAGCAATATTTAATTTTACATAACATAACATAATTTAACATAAGATTGCACTATGATGGGGTTACACACACACACACACACACACACACACACACACACATATTTCTCCTTCACTCATGACTCTCAGGAGAGCTTTGGTGAAACCTCCTCCTCCCCCCCCTCCCATTTCATCTGACCTGCAGAACTGTTTGCCACTTTACTGGGGGAAGGAGAGACAAAAGGAGCAGCAGAATGTGAGGTAAAGTAAAATAAACCCCTACCAGGGGTGAAATTCACTTACCTTCCCTACTGGTCAGCATATGTGCGCGCGCATGCGCAAAGCCTTCTGCTCATGCGCAGAAGCTGAAAATCATCGCAAAAAAGGGACGTCATGACGTCCATGCGGGTGGGCGGGACTTCATGCAGTCCGCCCTACCACATCACGCGATCCAGATAGAACCGGCTGAATTTTACCCCTGTCCCCTACTCACCATTCCAATGGACTCCTCCTCCCAAGGAGGTTGAAGAGGAGGAGGCGGCTCATCCATCAGTAACAACCCCAGCAGCAATAGGCATCCCAGCCTTTCTCTTGTCCTTCCTCTTTCCATATATAATATGGACTTCCGCCATTTTCTTTCCCCCTCATGATCCTCAGGAAATCATGGTGAAGCCCTCTCCTCAGGTAACCCATGGAACTGATAATTAGTTGTGGAAAGGTGTAACAAAGATAGCACAGATGGAGTAAACTTCATCCCACTTCCCATTCCAGCCTGTCCCCAAGGGACCCTTCCCTCCAGGGAAGAAGAGGGCTAACCCATCAACCACTGGCACCCCCAAGCCAGATCTACCTTGACAGCAGACATCCAAGTCGCTCTTTTGTTCTCTCACTGGCTGCCACCATTAAGAGATTTCAAATTTTGGGCTCAATACCAAAGCAGCCAATGGTTGCTCCTCTGTGAGGCCTTGCTACCAGCCAGTTAGGCACAGAGGTCAGAGAGAGGGGAGAAAGAAGGTAGAGATATACAACTTATGGTTTTCTTGGAAATATAGTTGGAAGGTGTATGTCACGGAAGCATCCAAAACTTTGCTAAATTTCAGTCCCACAGGAGTCACAGATCCTGGATTTTGGGCACATTCTATAAATTAATCTATTGTATATTGATTCAAAAATGGCTGCCCTGTGATGAACCATTCCATCCAATTTAAGATTACAACGTATCAAACAGACATGAGGATAGTATGCTATAGATTAATATATACATCCATGCACACATACTGTATATATCTCTGGAGCAACTGCAGGCTAATTCTCTTGGCAATCATCCACATTAATACCTCCGTAGAAAAAAAAAGGTGACAATTTTTTATTTTAAAAAATGTATTCTTTAATCAGCTTTAAATTGCTTGCCTTCCATGCTGATATCAGCTGAACTGAAGCCAGTTTAACTGTCTGGTTTTCAAGATTTGACAATAATGCTGACCAGGCCCTCTGTCTTGATAGCAGTTACCATGACCTCCAGTTAGTAGACTTCCCTGTTTCTTTATATCCTTCCCACCCCCATTTAGGAAAGCAAGTTCCATTTGCTTTATTATTATTTTTTTCGTGAGCAAACAGCATTCAGCAGTCAAAGAAGCATTCAATTGGAAAGTAACTTGGAGGTCATCCAATCCAACCTCCTGCTCAGTATAAGAGTTGCTTATTCACAATGAGATTTTCACGAGTCCATTCCAGCTTTTACTGTTGCTTTTTCTTAAGTTAGAAAAGAAACCCTGGCAAGTTCTTGTCAATTTTATCCTAAACAGCCCAACAGATTGAATGCAATCCCAGTCTCCCAGTCCCATTTGTATGTTCTTTTAAGAAAGCGTCAACAAGCCCAAGAATCATGGACAGATTCCAGTCCAAGAGCAATGGGGGGGCATCTTTGGGAAAGAAGGAGGGGGTTGAATGCACGGTTTTTTCCCCCTCTATCATCCTTATGATTGTCAATAACAGGTTTGGGGATTGCTTGGCCTGAATTTCAGCCCCTTGAGAAGCATGGGTCCTGGATTTTGAATGCATTCTGTAAATTAGCCTATTCTACATTGATTCAAATTAGTGCCTTATGATGCACTAATTGCAAAGGAAGGGCCATGGAGAACAAGGATCTGTATAGTCAGTAGACAAATGCTAGCATGATGAAGCGGATGCCTTGCCTTTAATGAGATGCTGCACAGCAGACAGTCTGAACTACACCACTCTTGCCAGCCAAAAGTGAAAAACAGTATTTTTTTATATAGAACCAGAAAAAAATGGAGTTCAGGGTGGAAGTTGTTTGCACAGAGGGCTACACACAGGTTGAGAGCCGAGGTGGCGCAGTGATTAGAGTGCAGCACTGCAGGCTACTTCAGCTGACTGCTCGATGCAGTTCGGCAGTTCAAATCTCACCGGCTCAAGGTTGACTCAGCCTTCCATCCTTCCGAGGTGGGTAAAATGAGGCCCCAGATTTGGGGGGGCAATATGCTGACTCTGTAAACTGCTTAGAGAGGTCTGTAAAAAGCACTATGAAGCGGTATATCAGTCTAAGTGCTATTGCTAAGTGCTATTGCTATTGAAGACTTCAGTTAGGGTTTTGTCCTTGGATTGGGAGCAGCAGGTTATGCAGGAACCTCTATAGAGGAATCCAGTAGGCATCAGTGTATCAACTAAATGTATGAAAAACCAGGATTTCTTTATCTGGAGTTAAATAGTCCTCACTTAGTTTTAGGCCACTGTACCATCCCCTATACAAGCAATTTAGAAACAATTTCTTGTCAATGCATTTCTTGTAAAAAAAATACAACAACTCCCTCCCCCCCACCTTTTCATTTGATAAAAATATACTAGCATACTGGCAAAGAATGAATCTAGTTCCCAAAAGAAGCTGTAAATTGTATCAGGGTTTTCGTACCACACTATCATATTTCGATTATCCCAGAATTGCATATGGTAATATCAGAGTGTGAGTTTTCATATTCTGAAACATTGCAACAAAATAATACAATTTTCAAGTGATTTTTTTTTCTACAATGCATGTCTTCTGTAACACGGGTTAGAGTATCAAGGCACCTAGTAGTTTGGGAGGTGTTATTTGTGGAATCAAGGTAGATATCAAAGGACCCGAAGAGGCACATATGTTTATCTCCCCCATCTCACGTAGCTCATTTCACCTCTTCACCAAGAATTATAACATTCTCAGCAGACAACCTTTTCACTTTGTAAAAGCTCCTTGGATGCTTGTAGAATGCTTGCAAGGGATGTTCAACGGAATAAAAAAGATTTCCTGAATTGATGGGAGCCTGGGGGAGATATTTTTCATGATCTACAGGATGTTTCTCACAGCAGTAAGGTACATAAGCTAAACATAAATCTGTTTACAAAGCCAGTGATCCATATACATGGTGTCCTCCGAACTGAATTGCACTGCTTGATCAAGTGTCCAGTGCCTGGAGGCTGTACGGGTCTGGATGGGGAGGAACAGGCTCAAGCTCAACCCTTCCAAGACTGAGTGGCTGTGGCTCCCGGCATCCCGATATAGTCAGTTGACTCCATCACTGACTATTGGGGGCGAGTCTTTGGCCCCCACAGAGAGGGCTCGCAATCTGGGAGTCCTCCTGGATATGCAGCTGTCCTTGGAGGAACATCTGACGGCTGTAACCAGGGGGACCTTTTGTCAGGTTCGCCTGATTCGCCAGTTGCGGCCCTTTCTTGATCGGGATTCCCTGTGCACAGTCACTCACGCCCTCGTCACCTCTCGCCTTGACTATTGCAACGCTCTCTACATGGGGCTCCCCTTGAGGAGCACCCGGAGGCTCCAGCTGGTCCAGAACGCAGCAGCGCGGGTAGTGACGGGAGCAGCATGGCGCTCCCATGTAACACCGCTCCTGCGCGAGCTGCACTGGCTCCCAGTTGTCTTCCGGGTGCGCTTCAAGGTGTTGGTTATCACCTTTAAAGCGCTCCATGGCATAGGGCCTAGCTATCTTCGAGACCGCCTGCTGCTACCAACGACCTCCCATCGACCCGTGCGCTCCCACAGAGAGGGCCTCCTCGGGGTGCCATCAGCCAGACAATGTAGGCTGGTGACCCCCAGGGGGAGAGCCTTCTCTGTGGGGGCACCTACCCTCTGGAATCAGCTCCCCCCAGAGATAAGGAGAATCCAAGACCTCAGTGCCTTCCGTCGCGCCCTTAAAACCCATTTATTTAAACAAGCCGGGCTGGCTTAAGATGAAATTTTTAACTGTTTTTAAATGTTTTAAACGTTTTTAATTGGTAAATGAGTTTTAATTGGGCCAAATTTATATATCTTTTAATTGTTTTTAATATTTGTTCTGCATGTTTTTTAATCTGGCTAGTCCTCAGGGAGAAGGGCGGTATAGAAATCCAATATAAAATAAAATAAAATAAAATAAAAAAGATCTATCCTATCCCTTCTTTTTCACTCAGAGTAGATTTTGTTCCTTTTCCACCCTGTGACTCATCAGACATTCTCATTTACACCTTCTTCTTTTTTTTTTAATCCCACGAGGGGACTGATGACCTATCATCAGTCTGGAGCAATCCAGACCTGAGCTCAGTCTAAAGGATGTGGATTTGATGCAGGACTGAATGAGCTCTATTCATTTGGGAAGCCGCTTCTTGATGAGGCAAAGTAAACTGATGGAGGCAGCAAGGTTCATTCACAAATGCTTTGTCCATTTTCTTTCAGCCTCAATAGTCATCGGGAAATGGTGGTGTGAGATGGAGCCCTGCCTAGAGGGTGAGGAATGCAAGACATTACCTGACAATTCAGGATGGATGTGTGCAACTGGCAATAAAGTCAAGACCACCAGAGTAAGTTGATGCTTTCCTTATCACTGGATGTTAAAACACTGTTAAGTTCACATAGTAAAATACATTTTTTTCTTTTAATGATCCTGAAAACTCTTGAATCGGGGTGGAGTTGGGGTGACTGAATGGAGCTGAGCATTTACTAGCCGGATGCCCTTCCTGATGCTTACACAGAATTCACAGGAGATATTTTCTCTTTGATCCTAGAGAGAAAAATATCTGCTGCTACCTAGGATCAAACTCATAGCCTCTTGATTGTGAGGCCACCACACCACCCTCGTAGCAAAATATGGTAGACCACAACCTACTTCTTGGTAAGCTAGAAAAAAGTGGGATAGATAGCATCACCACCAGATGGATTTCTAATTGGCTGACAAACTGTACTCAACAAGTAGTCTTAATGGTACTACGTCTACATGGAGGGAAGTAAGCCTCCTAGCCCCAGTTCCATCTTCAATATCTTCATAAATGACTTAGATGAGGGAATAGAAGGGGAACTTACCAAATTTGTGGTAGCTGGCATGAATAGCCAACACCCTAGATGATAGGCTCAAGATTCAGATGGATCTTGACAGACTTGAATACTGGTCCCTATCTAACAAAATGAAATTCAATGTAGAGAAAAGTAAAGTCTTACACTTAGGCAAGAAAAACCAAAAATACACATATAGACTGGTGAAATCAGGCTTAATAGCAGTAACTGTGACAGGGATCTTGGAGTCTTAGTGGACAACCAATGAAACATGAGTCAACAGTGTGCGGCAGCAGTCAAAAAAGCCAATGCAATCCTAAATTGCATTAACAGAGGGATACAATCAAGATCAAGTGAGTACTAATACCACTCTATAAAGCTTTAGTAAGACCACACCTAGAATACTGCATCCAGTTTTGGTAACCACACTATAAAAAAGATATTGAGACTCTAGAAAGAGTGCAGAGAAGATCAACCAAGGTGATTAGGGGACTGGAGGATAAAACATACGATGAATGGTTGCAGAAACTGGGCATGGCTATTCTAGCGAAGAGAAGGACGAGGGGAGACATGATACAGTGTTCCAATATTAGATGGGCTGCCATGGAGAGGAGGGGATTAAGCTATTTTCCAAAGCACCTGAAGGCCAGACAATGGAATGGAATGGAACAAGGAGAGATTCAACCTGGAAGTAAGGAGAAATTTTCTGACAGTGAGAGCAATCAACCAATGGAACAGCTTGCCTTCAGAAGTTGTGGTAGCTTCATCACTGGAAGCTTTCAAGAAGAGAGTGGACTGCCATCTGTCAGAAATGGTGTAGGATCTCCTGTTTGGGTGGGGGGTTGGACTAGATGACCTTCAAGGTCCCTTCCAACTCTGTTAATCTGTTAATATGGTTGCAATAATATTGGTGCAAAATGGGAATGGCTGCCTCCTGTTGCTTCTTTCCCTGCTTTTTTATGAGAGCATTTTCTTTTCTGGCTTTCTCAGATGTTCCATGCTTAGTCAGGGACAGAAATCAGGACTATGAGAACATGTTGGGGAGCTTTTATTCCAAACATCATGGATTTGGGTGCAACATGATTTTGGGTAAGATCCAAAGTGGCCTGATTTGGAACACTTTCAGAAATGGAATTAAAACACATGTTATTCTCTATTTTCTAAAGAAGAAGAAGAAGAATTCATTGGTTCTCTTTGCATGGTAGGATCTATAGAGTCATCCTCTCATAGGACCCTAACTTGCCCTGTTTGACATACATACATACATACATACATACATACATACATACATACATACCATACACACACACACACACACACACCCCATATATATATATAGCAAAACCTAAAAAAGAATTCCTTGAGATGCCCAATTTTCACAGTGCAACTCTAGGGGAATTGGGAACTGGGAAAGGACAGTTAATTATTTTCAGTTTTCATGATACAGCATGACTAATTTGGGTTGTTGGGAGTGAAAACTATACTCCTTTGAGTTAGATGCCACAGTAAGAGTTATGGTTAGAGAATTATTTTGACATGTTAATCCATTTTTGACACAGTTAAGCAAGATATGAGTACAAGACCATCTTTCTATGTATTCTGTGCTAATGTGGCTTCTGATTTGTTCAGAACATTTCAGCAAACATTCTGAACAATAGGTGTCTCAATAAAAGGAGAAATTTATGAAGATAAAAATGTGATTGATTATGTCTTAGAACTATGGTCTTTTCACTCATGTCAGAAGTCTTGAGTCTCAGAGTTAGAATCTCTAGATAAGTAAACCATATTTTTCTTTTTTTCTTTTTTTAAGTAGACATGGTATGTCCACCTAATATAGACTTTCTTTGACTTCTTTCCAATGCAAATCACTATTTAAGCATGAAGAATCATATAGCTTTTAGAGGACAGATTGTAGCACTTCAGAAGAACATTTTTCATATACGTTTTCAGTTCATCTGTGTTGCGTACAGTAATCTACATATAAGGTTCCTTTCGTTCTCTTTGCATATTTTCTGCTTCTCACTAGCTATGGATTAATACCTAACATCTCAATTTCTTTTTTTAGACATTCGGAAGCTTTGTTAATATTCAAATATATGGTTTATTCCACTGTGTATGGATTATCGGATTTCATTTCAATTAAATTCCTGAGATAACTTCTTAAATGTTTCAAAATAGAGTAACACCTTTACCCCACCATGTTCAGTATTTTTCTTTCTTTTTTTTTTAATCTTTCTTGGCAGGACTTTGTTTCCATAACTTTGTTTAAAGTATTCTATGCATTTTTATGTTTTGACTGACTGCTTGAATATATTGCGGAAAGTACAGCCATTTGTGAGGATAACTTAATGGGGTGAAATTAAGGTTGAATCTCTCAGTCAGGGGCATATAATGATTGAGTCAACACAACAGGTGTGTTTAGAAAGACATGCGATAGGATACATTCAGAAATGACTTGGACCCTCAGGTAGCATTGAGTATTATGGCGAGGGATTGTACTTCCCAGTATGGACAGGATAGGGAAAATAAGTATAAAGGATCTGCCCCAACTGGTCCCTCAGGAAAGCATGACTCTTGACTCCATTGGATTGAATCAATAGAACTTTTATTGAGAGAAAGGTGGTTGCAGTGAAGTCAGGAGGAACCTGAAGATCCTGTGCAAAGCACAAAGCGATTCTTCCATTTCCCCATACCTACACACCCCGACCAGTCTACCAGCAGCCAATGTGATGCCACAAGGTTGTTTTGCGAATGCTGAGGTGCAAGGCAGATAACAGTTCACTCTCAGGGCATGGCGGCCTTGAAACCAAGCTGGAACCGGCTGGGAGGGAGCCTGCTCCATCTTGAAGACAATCCCCCTCCCTAATTCCCAAGCGGTTACAGCAAAAGTAAAAGCATGTGAAAAATGCCAGCAGGTCTTCCTCCCCACCCTCCAACAGAATGGCAGGACACAATGGTGGACCTGACAACAAGTGAGTAGCACCAGGGAAATTGGTGAAGCACTTATATTTTATTTAATTTATATTTAAATTTGGTACAGGTAGTTAAATATAGCTATTACAGTTAGTCGTCAGTCATATATTTCATAATTTGTCTTCTGTCACCTTATAAACTCAGTTCACCTTTGGGAGTTGTGAACTCTATTCAGGCTTTCAGAAGCCACAACTAGCCCCAGGCCTCAAATCATGCCCCTTTACATTGACTGGATTGCTTTACTTACTTCTTTTCTAGAAGATGATTTTTCTTTTTTTGTGTGCATGTATATATATTTTATTTATTTTATTTTGTCAACTACATATTAGATTTATATATATAAGCATACACATGAATTGAATACATAAAATGAATACAATTAAAGGGAACATTAGGACAGGGACGGTAGGCACTTATGCACGCCCCTTACAGTCCTCTTAGGATTGGGGTGAGGTCAACAGTAGACAGTCTTAGGTTAAAGTTTTGGGGGTTTTGGGATGAGATCACAGAGTCTGGTAGTGCATTCCAGGTTACTGAAGTCATATTTTCTGCAATCAACTTTGGAGCGGTTCACTTGAAGTTTGTATCTATTGTGTGCTCGTGTATTGTTGTGGTTGAAGCTGAAGTAGTCATTGACAGGTAGGACATTGTAGCAGATGATTTTATCAGCTACACTTAGATCATGGCGAAGGCAGCGTAGTTCTAATTTTCCTAAACCCAGAATTTCAAGTCTGGTGGCATAAGGTATTTTATTTATTTATTTATTTATTTATTTATTTATTTATTTATTTATTTATTTATTTATTTATTTAATTAATTTGTATACCGCCCTTCTCCCAGAAGGGACTCATTTTGTTGCGAGCAGAGGAGTGGAGGACTCTACCTGTGAAATTTATTGAACATTTTTATTTATTTATTTATTTATTTATTTATTAAACATTTATTTATTAAAACCTTTATTTATATGAAATTTATTGAACAGCCGTTCTAGGCTTTCTTTAGGAAGAAGAGCAAAATAAAAATGTGCATTACCTGCACCCAGTTTGGGTCGGAGACCATTTTGAAAGTGATTTTTAAACCTGGAATCCTAAAAGCCCCGTTCAAATAAGCAGCATCAGGGAAGTGAGAACTACCTTGAGTTCAGGAAGGTCTTTTTCATGCTAGTCTTGGGGTAAATGCAAAGTCTTAGAAGAGGAATTTCCAACCCTTATGAGTTCATTCAGGCAAAGCCCCAGAATGATTTGAAATGCTCCTTTCCAGGTTCCTTGACACCTGGGCTGAGTTGCTGCTTAAAAGATAAGCTGCCACTGAGATAACCTGCAGTCTCTTCATTGTTTATGTCCTCTCTCCCATTACTTTCCCAGCCTCTGTACAATTTCTCAGTGGGGGCATGGTAATCGTTGTTACAGCATGCAGTTGCAATTTTAATTTGGGGGTTCTTTCATTAGAAGAAAAGAAAAACCATGCCAGATTGCCCCTACATCCTGCTTGGCATATGTGCCCAGCCACTTATTTAAAACAGGGATGTGCAACCTGCAACCCTTACCCTAGAGTCCTTCCGAATGTTGCTCCTGGATTATACTTTTTAATGTGACAGAAGGGAGAAAATATTGAATATGTGGGAAGCTGATTATACGACTTCTTTTTAATCAATTTCATTTAATTACATTATCATTAAATCAAATATCATTTATGAGCTGCTCTCAGCAACTTCTTTGCCCAAATTGTGAATATCGTCTCCTGCATTCTACTCAAAGGCCAATGGCAACTTCAAAAAAAAGTTCATTCCTGCTGCTGCAGTGAATAAAAAGGGAGAATCCCTGCTGTTGGCTAAAAATGTGGGGTTCATACATCAGTTTTCCTCCTCCCCATTGAAGTTCTTGAAAAACTGAAATGATACCTTTAGAGTGGATTAAGGTAAAGCTAAAGGTTCCCCTCGTACATATGTGCTAGTCATTCCTGACTCTAGGGGGCAGTGCTTATCTCCGTTTCAAAGCTGAAGAAGCCAGCACTGTCTGAAGACATTTCCGTGGCCAGCATGACTAAACGCCAAAGGCGCACGGAACATTGTTACCTTCCCACCAAAGGTGGTCCCTATTTTTCTACTTGCATTTTTACGTGCTTTCGAACTGCTAGGTTCGAAGCAGAAGCTGGGACAAGTAATGGGAGTTCACCCCTTACGCAGCACTAGGGATTCGAACCACTGAACTGCCGACCTTTCAATCGACAAGCTCAGCATATTAGCCACTGAGCCACTGCTCAGTGAGTGGATTAGTGTCCTATAAATCTCTGAGGAAACATTTAATGCTTTCCCTTCTCCAGTCTTTCCTTCTTCGACTTCCTTCTTGAAATCATCCTCAATTATTTCATAACGAAAATGAAGCATTTTTTTAGTAGGTGCTAGCTTATTTGGTGATCTTCTTTACTAATCTTTGATATCCCAGCGCCTCCTGGGTCAACCTAAACACTCCCCTTCATTTACTGAAATTAACAAAAATCAGAAGTTATCAAAGAAAACGTTCTGGGCAACAGAGACCCTATTCCAGCACTAGTGTTGAGTCACTTGTTGACCTCTTTTATTTCCTACCAACAAAAGACGAGCTATTTAGAGCTCACTTTTGCCATCAAAAGCTGAATGAGTACAAAACATCCCTTCAGTTACTTTGAGCATTTCAGGAGAACAAGGTGTACTACAAGCGTCTAATGTCAAAGTTCAGGCTTTTATTCTTAGAAGGAGCAAACTCAAATGAAAAACCTATTTTTCTGCCTCTGTTCAGGTGCCGTTTCACCATCAATCTCCCCTCCTCCAATATCTGTGGTGTTTTCTTTCATAGATCTGCACAGCAAGCCATGTACTTCCTGGGGAAGGAGCTATCACTCTATCCCATATTTCTTAGGAAAACAAGGGACTTCCCTAGACAGGCATGAAACTCTCTAATGAAAATGGCCATGTTTTCTCTTCCTCTGAATTTTCCTCATATATTTGCCATGTGTCCAAACCAGTGGTGAAATTCAAATTTTTTTACTACTGGTTCTGTGGGCGTGGCTTGGTGGGCATGGCAGGGTAAGGATTCTACAAAATCTCCATTCCCACCCCACTCTGGGGCCAGCCAGAGGTGGTATTTGCCGGTTCTCCAAATTACTCAAAATTTCCGCTACCGGTTCTCCAGAACCTGTCACAACCTGCTGGATTTCACCCCTGGTCCAAACTGGCTTACCAAACTAAGTGAATCCATTTTCACTTCTAGGAGCACCATTAACAAAGGAAGACCCACACGGGAGATAATTAGCTCACAATTAAATGACATGGCCCTCAGTTAAACACACAATGAGAAATGACACAGTGATTAAGCAAGCACCAATACATAATCACAGCTAAGGCATGCTGAGTGTTAAGCAACATGGGCATCATTGATCTGTTTCATCTTGATTTGTAAAATTATTGTCAGTGGTTGAAATCTCATTTTCAATCTCTACCTGATGAGTGAAATAAAAGGATTCATCCCTTCAGTAGAAAAAGTGCTCATTTTCTTGGTGCAGCTAGCGTTGGACTAAGACCGGAGAGATGAAAACTCAAATACATTTTCAATCATGGAGGCTCACTGGCTGATTATTGGAGTTCACTGTCTCTCAGCCCAGCCTATCTTATGGGTTGTGGCTGAGAAAATAAGATGAAAGGAAGTCCCCATATAAGAACCCATTAGAACGCAGAGGATAAAAATCTAAAAGACAAACAATAAACACATGTAGGCTAGAGGATGAGAAGGGGAAAAGACAGCTCAAAACCAGGGAAGAGAGATAAATTGGGATAATATGGAATGCTATTACCTCCTCTCTCCCCCATTCATCCCAGTCTATATACTGTAAATAGGGTAAGAACTTAGCAAGAAGAACACATGAAGACAATGGAGAAGGCGGTGCTTGATTGATTGACCCAGAATAGGAATTTACTTGACATTGAAAAGTAGTAAACAAATACCTTGAACTTGTTCAAAAATCAGTATAACGTGTACCTTCTCCAAATAGAATTTCTTTCTAGGGAATCTCCTGGGAAAAGACAGCATTTTAGAATAAGAAGAAAAGTCCTTCTGAGAGTCATCAATGTTGCTACAGACCATAATAAGAATTGAGGTGGTAGTGATGTTGGTGCTGTCAGATCCATCTACCTGGTCAATCTCCCAAATTGTATTTAATATCCAGGACTGATGTGAATGTACCTCCATATACATTGTGCCTGTGACTGCCATAGCAGCAAATGATTCATGAACATAGTGGGGAAAAAGATACTGGGCATAGAGACAATGGATGCAGCTGGGAAAGGAGAAACAGTTTTCTGGTGGAATGAAATTAAAAGAAATGTATTTGTGGAGATTCTCAGTCATCCAGGTCATAGCTGTCTCAAAGGTGCTTTTTTTCTTCAAAAGGCAACTAGGCTGTGGAGTTTTTTTTCCCTTGGAGGAAGAATAAGAAAATATTTCACTTCTCATCCAAGAAGCTTCATCAGTTCTGATGGCAGGGAGAGGGAAGGATAGATAATGTCAGTTGTGACTGGATGGTAAGGGGATGGAAGGATAGGTTCCGATAGGATGATGGTGTGTGTTTGTGGAAGGATTGTATTTCTTTGCAGTCATCTGGTCATTAGCATACTCTTGAGAACTGTTGAGACTCCTTGGGGGTTTATCTGTGCCCTCAGGGTCACCTGGATCAGGGTGCAATTAGTTGTGGAATCTCTTTGGAATTCCTGCAAGGGCTGCATTGTAGACTCCACATTTTGTAGACTCCACATTTTGGATTGCAGAAAAAACAATTGCTACCAGCCTGCCTTCCATTGAGGACCTGTATACTGCACAAGGCAAAAGGAGGGCTGTGAAAATATTTACAGACCCCTCACATCCTGGACAAAAACTGTTTCAACTCCTACCCTCAAAACAACACTATAGAGCACTGCACACCAGAAGAACTAGACACAAGAACAGTTTTTTTTCCCGAACGCCATCACTCTGCTAAACAAATAATTCCCTCACCACTGTCAAACTATTTAGTAAGTCTGCATTACTATTAATCTTCTCGTTGTTCCTATCACCCATCTCCTCCCACTTATGACTGTATGACTGTAACTTTGTTGCTTGTATCCTTAAGATTTATATTGACTGTTTCCTAATATGATTTGATTGCTTATTTGTACCCTATGATTATCATTAAGTGTTGTACCTTATGATTCTTGATGAACTTATCTTTTATGTACACTAGAGAGCGTATGCACCAAGACAAATTCCTTGTCTGTCCAATCACACTTGGCCAATAAAATTCTATTCTATTCTATTCTATTCTATTCTATTCTATTCTATTCTATTCTATTCTATTCTATTCTATTCTACTCTACTCTATTCTATTCTATTGAGAGTCCTTATTTTGGATAGAGAGGACCATTGGTTTGAAAGAGGGGTAAAAGAATCCATCTATGTTGGAATTGAAAGCCTTCCTCAATGGGGGAGGTGGGGTGGGATAAGACACCACCTATCTCCAGTTTACAATGCAGCCCTTGCCGCAGTTCCAAGAAGATTCCACAACCAATTGCACCTTGATTTAGGTGACTCCGAGGGCACAAATAAACTTTCAAGTGGTCTCAACAAATCTCAGAGAGTGCTATCGACCAGATGACTACAAATAAATACAATCCTTCCAACCCCCCCTTCACCGCCAGCATCCTATCAGAACCTTTCCTTCCATCCCTCTACCATCCGGTTTCTACTGTCAGTACTGTCCTTCCATCCCCCCCCGACCTCCGCCATCACAACTGATGAAGCTTCTTGGATGAGAAGTGAAATATTTCCTTCTTCTTCCTCAAAGAAAAAACAGTCCAGTTGCCTTTAAAAAAAAAAAGACAAATGTAATGTATCTTCATTGTTTCACTGATTAACAGAAGAAAAATAAATCGGGCAAAGTGAATACATTTCTTATGGGTTGGATAAATCCAAGATGTCTTATTACAGTGTGTTAGCTAAGCAGATATTCAATACAAATTTGTATCACAGCAGAATTCAGGTTTATGTTTAGTTGCTTCTAAAGCAATTGTCTCTTTTCCATTCCTCTCTCTCCAGCAAGAGTTATGTGCTTGTGCTCTCTCTCTCTCCCTCCCTCCCTTCCTCCCCCCCTCTCTCTCCCCCCCCCTCTCTTTCTTGCTCTCATTCACTCTTTGCATGTATATGTTCCATTCCCAGGACTATATTCTATGCCTCTGATAAATTGGATTGTGATACACCAAACATATCTGATAATTACATTGTTAGTCTTCAGATGCCACATTTTTTTTTACTGCAAAACACCCCCACTGAAACTGCTCTGAAAACCCATCTTGTGGCTGTTGTTTTTCCTCAGATCTGGATGAAATTTGCATAAAGTCATAAAACAAGAGTTATAAAAGCAGGGAATTGTGGTCTTTTCAAGTGGCTGGCAAATTTTTCACAGGGCTATCGTAAAATTTTGTTAATGAGATTTCCTATGAACAATCCAGTAAGGCATCCCACTCAGAATTGTTGGGAGTCAGAAGGACTAGATAATAAATACATAAACTGATCAATCAGTCAATCAAAATCTTATTGACAAAACTTGCCAGCTTCTCATACAAGAGAGAGGGGGGAAGCAAACTAACCTCTCTAAGATTTGCTGCCATTTTTCTCAATTAAAATCCCTGTGAAAGTGCTAACAGGCCTCACTGACAAAGTTCTCATGAATTCCTGCTACTCTAGAAAATGTTCCTGACCTTTTGTACAAACGTTAGCTTTTTTTTTTTCCTTTCTCTCTTAAATGACTGACTACCTTTGTTGATTTCAGCATGACAAGGTGCAAAAGTGGGTACTGACACATATAATGATGTGCAATCTTTTTTCCCACCCCTACAAAGAACCATTCTGGCTATTTTCAGACTTTTATTTCCCAGAGGTAGTTTTAGAAAATTGCAAACTGAAAGGCTCACTAGGATTTTTAAAGGCACCCTCAATGATGTATTCCCTGAAATCAAACCCTTCTAGCTTGGCCAAATCTTTGCCCAATCTGCAGCAGATGTTTTTTTATACAAAGTCAGCAGATAAGCTGACTTTGTATAAAAAAAGAACAACGCTTAGGGGGGGCCCAAAAGCCCTACTAAGCAGGTATATACAAAAGTATGAAGGCTATTGCTTAACGCATTGTAAGCCGCCCTGAGTCTCCGGAGAAGGGTGACACATAAATCGAACCAATAAATAAATAAATAAATAAATAAATAAATAAATAAATAAATAAATAAATAAATAAATAAATAAATAAATAAATGACTGCTGAGTGTTGTTGCCTCATTCATACAACCAGACTTTCAGGGACCAGGGTGGATAGTTTGTGTTCAATATAAGATTGAATGTTTGCATCTGAAAGCAAAAAAAATTCAAAGGGTGATCCCTGTGTGCAGAAATAAAGGCAGGGCAGGAGATGGCAGAGGAAGAATATCTTCCACAGGTTGGTATTCCAACAGCAGCCACAAAGAAAATTTTGACTGCCAGATGTTATCTCCAGCAGGCAACAGAGAAATGACCATAGAGGTGCAACACCTTAAGCCTGAATGGTCCTGCAAAGAAGTCACCCCATAGCTTCTCTCCATGTGAATCAGATCAGCTGGAGAGAGAGGTCCTTGTATTGGTTCCCCTAATTTTCCACTTCTCTGGTCTGATTTTGAGCACACTGTCTTGGCTACTTTTACCTTGGCTATGCAGCTTTGGGGAAAGGTCTGCTTCCATCCACCGAACTGAAGAATCAAGGTGGTTTTCAAAGGGCTGAGCATAATCCTTTCTTCTTCTTCTTTTTTTTTTTGGTTTCTCCTTGCAGATTCATCCGAGGACCTAACAAAAATTCTTCTGACAGCAGCCTCCGAAGGAACTCCCTGACAGATAGAAGGCAGAAATCTTTGAACCTTAAACCATCTCCAGCTTCTACAAGCCAAATGGTTTTTGTTTTCTTTTTGTTTTTAATTTGCACTTTAACTCTGCACCAGAAGAAACTGCAATGGCTTTGCTTGTGTAGAGCCAAAACACACTAGACAAATAATGAACCAGAGCGGACAGCAAAAAAAAAAGAAGAAGAAGAAGAAGAAGGGGGAAGAGAGAGAGAGAAAGAGAGGAGACATTGGCAAGCAGTTCAACAGAAGCAAGTTTTGCGATTCTGAAAGATGAACAATGGTCCCGTACAGGTGGATGGACCATGTTTATTTGTATCATTTACAAATATATAAATATATAAAATATTTTGAAATAAACCCTGACTCGCTGAGAAACTGAACAGAACCACATTTTGCTGCAACGGCTTAATTTTGCTTTATTTAATTGTAAAGAGATAAGGGCTTTGTAGATCAAGACGACAGTGAAAAAAGAACATGAATAAGGACGAAGACTGACCAAATAATTGGAATGCTACTTCCTTTTCGTTACAATGATGATTGTGTCAGCCAGATGTTGAAGGGAATTCCATTTTTGTTTTTCATATTCCTGTGTTCCGCAATCTTTTTTTTTTATTTTTTTCCCTTTCTCTCTCTCTTCGTGCAACATTTGCATGCTGGCTTTGCTTACATTAAACATACTTTATACTTAATTGATACGTGATGCCGGGAACATTTTTCGGGGCCAAGAACTGTCCCATAGAGAAGAGGAAAGAGACTCTTAGTAATTAAACAGACCCAACCTGCGCTCTGAAATTCACTGGACAACTTTTCGTAAACTGCAGGTTCATTTATTTAAAAAGAAAAATCCCTGTACAGACAATTGTCTACAGACTTTGTATAGTTGATATAGACAAGCCTAGTAAAAAAAAAAAAGAAAGAAAAAGCGATTGCTAACTTTTATGGCTTCTGTTGTTTGCTCATGAGAATCATTTTTATAATGTTTAGGAAAAACACAGATTTTGCACTGTCATGGGTTTCGCCTTACTGTTTCATTTTATTTATTTTTATTTTATTAAACAAATTTATATAGCTACCCCTCTAGCGAAAGGAACTTTGACTTTTTCAGTCATAATGATAGAAACTTTAATAGGAAAAAGTCCCACTTCGATATTACATGAAAGAAAAGCAATGCGTTTAATTATCAACACTTTTGAAAAGTTAAAAGCAAAGTCATATGCACAGTAATAATAGATTTTAAAATATGACTGGAATTGTTCCCTTACTTTCCATAAACGGATCCACAGTATTGCTTCTACTAATCTGAATAGCGTTGCACTTACTCCAAGTATATGAACGTACTTTAGTATGGTTAAGATCAAGCTCAATACAGATAGTCCTTGACTTACAACTGTCCATTTAGTGACTGTTTGAAGTTCCAATGGCAGTGAAAAAAAATGATATATGACCATTTTTCACAAACTTAAACTGTTGCAGCATCCCCATGGTCACATGACCAAATTCAGATGCTTGGCCTGACTCATATTTATGACGGTTGTGGTGTCTCGGGATCACCTTTTGAGACTTTCTGACAAGCAAAGTCAATGGGGGAAGCCAGGTTCATTTAACACCCATGTTACTAACCTAACAACTGCGGTGACTGACTTAACAACTGTGGCAAGGAAGGTCATAAAATGGAGCAAAATGTACTTAACTGTCTTGCTTAGCAACAGAAATGTTGGGCTCAGTTGTGGTCATAAGTCAAGGACTCCCTGTACTTGATGAATAAAGTAGAAGGAGTAATCCTATTGAACCCGGGACTGACCTATCCACACCACTGGTAACTATAACATACCTGTCATATCTGGTACAACTAGCTCCAGAGAAATTTAAGTTGGGAAGGGAGTATTACAAAAACGATCATTTAGAAAACTGGAGATGAGCCCAGTGGTGGGTTGCCTCTGGTTCGCATCGGTTCTATAGAACCAGTAGTAAAATTGGCGGGAGGCTCCGCCCACCGACTCCGAGGTCATCAAAATGCTTCTGCACTTGCGCAGAAGAGCAAGCGTGCGGCCCCGCTGCAAACCAGTAGTAAAGGTAAGTAGAACCCACCCCTGGATGAGCCCCTTCAAGTTCAAAGGGCTTTTTAAAATCATAGCTCAGAAGAGAAGTTTGGGCACTCAGCTCAAGAGAAAGTACTGAGCTTTCACTCTTGGTTTCTCCTTCTAACAATTCTCATTCCAAATCTCCATACTGCTTTTGGATGGAAATTAGCAGACAGGGAAGGGATTTTTCAAAGAAAAAGGTATAGTAATTCCTGGAAGTAAATGTCCCACTTGGATGATAATGGCTTTTGAGTCTTTAAGATGTATATATCACTTGAATATTTTTTCATAGGATGAAATAGAAGGGGAACAGCTCTACAAAAAAACAACATGGTTACATGAGAGGAAGCATTCATGTTTCCTACAGTCATACCTTAATTGAGAAACCCAAAGGTGCTTTTGCAAGAGGCAACTGGAGTTTTTTGGGTTTTTTGAAGATGTTTCCCTTCTCATTCAAGAAGCTTCTTCAGATGTGACTGGATGGTGGGGAATAGAAGGATTTATATTACTTGCAGACAGCTGATCCTTTGCATTCTTTTAGAGAGTCATTGAGGCCACCTGGAGTTTTATCTGTGTCCTCAGGGTCACCTGAGTAGTACAAATGGGTGTGGAGCCTTCTTGGAACTGCTGAAAGGACTGTGTTGTACACTGGATTTTGACATAAATGGCCTCTTTGACCCCTCTTTCAAACCAGGGATCCTCTCTGTCCAAAATGTGGACTTTGCTGTCTTCAGAAAAGTGACCTTTGTCTTTTAAATGCAGATGGACTGCTGAATCTTGTCTGGACAACCTTTTACTCTGCCATATTTCTTTTGAATGATAACCTAAATTTACAATAATTGATCTTAGATGGTATCAGATCAGACAATTTTTTTTTACATTAAGTGGGTTCAGAGAAATCAGTCTATTTCTCCAACAACAACAGCAACATGACTGAATTTATTTCCCAACTAAATCAATTTGATAGGGCAGAATTCCCAAATGTCAGGAGTAGAAACCCTCCAAGCCAGGCCAGCCTATGTAAAACCTTCCAGACATGAAGGAAAGAAGAAGAGGTAAACATCAAACAACATCTCCAAATCATGCTATTTAAATTCACTTAAAATGGGATTTTTTCTCCTGAAGATAAAGATCAAAATAGGGACAAGGAAGAGATGTTAAAATGTTAAAATATACCTGTACTTTCTGTGAAGTTAAATCAAAGTTATTATATTCTAAGATATTCATCATTTCAGACTAGATTCCTCTAGATTTGACAATGGTGCCCCTTTACATCTAAGCATGCATTCCAGTATTACCGTAATTAAATGAATATATGAAGTGAAAATCTGATCCATCCCTTTTAACTTTCCCAAGAAAGACATAAATGACTTTGGGAACATTCCACTATTTCTTTCTGTAAATGCTAAATGTGCAGAAGTTCAAGCAGATAAGACTGGGGACAGATTGAAATATCGCTCCTGCATGCAAAGGTGAAAAAAAGGTTATTAGTGATGAACATGCTCTGAATCCAGAAAAATATCCATCAATGTTTTAGTAGATTTACTTTCAAGAGCTATGAAGAATACCCTATTAAATGCTACATATTACCTACATACCACATGCTACCCACAATCTATCCACATGGAGCTGCTTTGCAGATAAATTTATAACTCAACAAGGATCCAATTATAAAACATGGCATTATACCAAGCATCATTTGATATAACAGAAAGCTTCAGCCAATTCATTCAGAATTTCCTGTTGATTCCATATTTTAAAAAAACCAAACAAGAAGGAAGCTTAGAAGAGTATTATATATTCTATAAGTTAGAAAGAGAGTGTGAACATTGAAAGGGCAACTATCATATTCATTTTTATTTAATAACATATTAAATGGAAAACCAATGTCTTGCCACTGACCCAACAATTGTATGAAAAAAGAGAAAAAGGAATTATTTCAAACCTGCAAACTTCTGATGCTGTCCAGTAAGTCCATCTGACTTGGGATGGATTAGTTTTTGGATCCTATCAAGCAAATCTAATTCTTTTCTAATGGAAATTGGACTGAATGCTTGAGGTCTGATAGGTAGGAAATGACCTCCCTTTTACAGCCACCTTGTGTTTGCTCTCTAGAAAGATCGGCAATCGTGTGCAGTCATTGTTAAATTGATATCTAATGTACTATTAGGCAAACCTGCAAACCTACTTGAATTTCATTTTGATAGGGATTATTCTGAACAAAAAATAAGTATGCTTAGAGGTGGATAAGGAGTTAAGGATACTCATTAATACAGTAGATGTGCATGTTGCAATATTTTCAGGATCAGACTCAATAAGATCGACAAGAGTTAAAGATTTAACTATATATTCTTTTATTTACATTAGGCATTCTATATTCACTGAATATTCACAGATAGAAGCGAGGGAAATGGTGTAGGTAGCTCCTTATATATACAATGGGTGGAGCTATATGTGGGAGTGGTGAATTATGAATACATTAAGAAGTGAAGAATAAGTTAACCCCTGATACCCTGTCTGTACACTATTTACACATTGGAGAATAAGGCATTTATATCTGACAAATCCCCCTCTAAATGCCGATTCGTTATACAACACCAGTTACATTCAGATTCAGGACAATACAAAACATACAACTTTGAGGTTAAGTATTTATGCTGTTTAGAAGGTAAAGGCTTCGTTAATATATCAGCTAATTGTTCTGAAGTGTCGCAATGCACTGCTTTAATAAATCCATCCTGAGATAATTGTCTCACATGTTTAAATTTTATATCTATATGTCTGGATCTTTGTCCAATGGCATCAGATCTAGATATTTCAATGGCTGCTTTATTGTCTTCATGCATAACAAAAGGCAGAGCAGGTTTTTTCCAGACATCTGAAATTAAATCATTAAACCATACAAGATTATTTGCGGCCTTGGATAAACAAACATATTCCGCTTCTGTTGTTGAAGTAGCTACTAGTTCTTGTTTACCAGTGTACCAGTAAACTGGACAGTCATTTAAGAGGAATACATAACCGGATGTGCTTTTTCTGCATGAGGTGTCTCCAGCCAATCTGCATCTGCATAACACGTAAGCTTTGGTTCTTTAATATCATTAGGTTCTAACATTAAACAAAAGTCTAGTGTACTTTTTAAATATCTTAAAATTCTTTTAACAGCTTCCCAGTGGTACATTGTTGGTTTGCTGACATGCCTAGATAATAAATTAAGTGGTAAAGCGATGTCCGGTCTAGTCCAATTAGATATGTAAAGGAGTGAACCTATGATTGATCTATAGAATGTATTGTCCTTGAACTCGGGAGAAGATTCATCAGAATTCCTTAGAAAGTCAGTTTGCATAGGGGTATCACAAGGTTTGGCATTGTTTAAGTTGCATTTATTTAAAAGATCTATGATCTTATCTCTCTGGGTAAGTTTGAATCCCCTTTTTGTCTTATTAATTTGGACACCAAGGTATTTGTTTACCTTGCCTAAAGATTTCAATGAGAAATGTTCATTTAGTTTAGTTACAAAAGTTTCTCTTCTTTCTTTATGTTTTCCTATGTATAAAATGTCATCCACATAAATCAATACAAATTCAATGTAATCATCACCCCTCTTGACAAAGAAACAATTATCAGCAGTGGTAGCGTTGAAGTCCATGGTCTTAAGTACTTTTACTAAACAATCATACCACCGTTTACCAGATTGTTTTAGCCCGTATAAACTCTTGTTTAACAACCAAGTCTCATTTTTGTTTGTGTATGGACTATGAGGTGCTCTCACGTATATTTCTTTATCTAATTTTGCGTGTAGGTACGCAGTCTGTATGTCATATTGGAATACATCTAGATTGAGTGCTGAAGCTACCACTAGAGCTGTTTTGACACTCTCTGTTCTTACAGTGGGGGAATACGTGTCAGTATAGTCCTCTGGATATTTCTGTGCATAACCCTGTGCAACCAATCTAGCTTTGTATAGAATATTTCCTCCCTCTAAATTCTTAATTTTAT